TGTGATGAGTTTGAGATCTGTTATTCAATATTATACACAAACATAAAGTTGTGTTTTTCTCACCACCAGAATGGTATGAATGGTGTAAGGACCTCTGCTGCTCTAGACAGTAAGTAACCAATGACTTTTTAAATTGTTCAATGAATACTTTATGTTGTAAAGTTTACCAACAACCATGTTTCTATTTAACTACAAATAAAGACCTCTTTTCTCTCTGACTCCTCCCCAGCTTCTTCAGCGTCCTCCACGCCGAAGCCAGACTCGCCGTCAATGAACATCAGCAGTAACGGTTCCTCAGCACCCTCCTCACACTTATCCTCATCCCTACCTGCACACAGCTCCAGCACACTCTCAAGCCTGGCACAAGACCTGCCCTCAGTCAGCCAGCTCAACTCACTCAACAGGTGACACCCGTGCACAGGGCTGACTATTGACTATTTTCAATTTCAATGCAGAGTTTCATTTTCTTTGTAAAGTCAGCATGCAGACTTGCAGGCATCAGAAAGCAGACTATGCTAAAAATGGTATTTTGCATCTAACAAAAAGATCAAACATCGGAAGTAAATCAAGAAAAGAATTGCTATACAAACTGAATTATAATGCTGTTAATCCAGTACTCTTTTCATCACTCTTAACTTCTGTCTTCCCTCTACAGCCATGTCAACAGTCATTCCTCAGTCTCAGCTCTGGGCTCCAGCTCCCTCACTGTAAGTTCCTGTCTCATTCTCTACCAGCATGATTGCTAACCTTCTTTATGACCACTGATCCTGAATTCTAATATGCCACCAAACAGTTGAATCAGTTTGCCTAATATATTCATAATATCAAAAAGAACATTTAAAAAGAAATACAAATAAAGAGCCATACCACCTTGGTGTTCACTGTGTGGTAAAGGTGCAGTACAATGCAGACCCATGCATGCACAGCACACTGATATCCTAAAAAGACTACTTCCAAATTCAACTGATCCCCCTCTTTGTACCCGTCTACAGTACACGAGCGTTGACAACAGCAGTGTAAGCTCTCTGGCTCCCTCCTCTGGCTCGTATACATTATCGCAGCCCCCTGCTTCAGCACTCCACTCAACCCACAACAGCAGCAACAGTAGCAGTGGCATCAGCCACCTGGCCAACCTGCCCAACATGGGCAACAACATGAGCCACACAGTCGGTGTTCTCGCTGGCACCGCTGGACTTCACTCTGCCGCTGCCACCAGTGCAGCGCTGGGACTCGGCTCCAATGGAGCTACTTCCGCGTCCAATCTTTCTGCACCAAGGACCACACCCCTGCTCTCCTCCTCTGCTGGTACACACACAACATTTTTTTTGTGCTCCTGAGGAGTCGAGACAAAAAAGAAGGAAGAACTATTCCCATGCAAGTTAGGAATCTCATAGTGATGGGTATTCTTTCATTGTGTTGACAGGTAAAGCTCCTCCTAACCTGTCCCAGGGAGTGCCTCCTCTACTGCCTAACCAGTATATTATGGGCCCAGGGGGGCTACTGCCAGCATACCCAGTAAGTAGCCTTACACATATGTATATGTGTATATATTGTATATAGACGATTCAATGGAGTCATTATATGTGCCTGTTTTTCTTTTAAATCTGCCACTGCAAAATGTGATATTTTTCATCATATGTACTGTATATCTGTCTGCGTTTGGACATGATTTGCTGTATTTTAAGATGACTATATATGTATCCTGTGTTTCACAGCAAATCTATGGCTATGAGGACCTCCATATGCTCCAGTCAAGACTGCCGATGGTAAGCCTTATCGACAGTCCTTACTCTAGTCGTTTTTTTCTTTGATTGTTCCGTGGATGCCATCCTGATCCTGTACTTTCCCTTCAGCCCTCTTTGCAGGATTTCTATGGAATCACATTCCCCGGCCCCACTGCAACTCTCTCGGGCAGAGATGGGAGCCTAACCAACAACCCTTACTCAGGTAAAGCACATTATTATTGAATGAGATCAGTTCATAGGAGAGAGAGAGACAAGTGGATCCAGAGTTGTAAAAACTTTCTCCTTCACACTGTCTAACTTGATTTCATTTTGGTGTACTCACGTTATATTCCCCTCATTTGTCAGGTGAAGTCACTAAGTTCGGCAGGAATGACTCCACCTCCCCAGCCCCCCCTACAAGCCTCTCAGCTCCACAGCCTCCCCAGGGTCAGAGCCAAGGACAGAGCCAGGCCCAGCCTCAGCCTCAACAGGCCCAGCCTCAGCCGCAGGGTCAGCCGCAGCACCACAGCAGTCAGCAGGCTTTCCTTCCTCCGGGCTACAGTTACACTGGCCTGCCTTACTACCCAGGGGTCCCCGGTGCTGTACCAAGTGCTGCTGCCTTCCAGTATGGCCACACTATGTTCGTTCCTCCTGGGGGGCCAGCCTCAGCCAAGCAGCACAGTATGGGTCTCGGTCTGGGAAACCCCTCTGCTAGCCCCTTCCAGCAGCAGACCCAGCAGCAGCCAAGCGGCTATGGCCAGCACACCTTCAGCTCAGGTTTGTAAGAACAAGGATTGAGTCACAAATGAGTTTAGGGTTTGGGAAATATGTCAGATTTAAGGTTAAGTACTTTCCAAAATTATATTTTGTGGATTTTCTTCAAAAGGAGTGGAGTGTTCTTGTTCTGTCCTGATATTAATGTTGTCTTCCCCCCAGGGTATGAGGAGCTGACAGCAGGGCCAGCAGGAGTGGACTACAGTAAAGGATACAACTCCTCCTCACAGGCACAAGCCAAATCTGCTGCTTCTGGGCCTGGCAAAGGTACAAAGCAAAATACCACCCTTTCTAATGTCTTTTAAAAACGTTTTTTTTAACTTAGTCTAATGTGTAAATATAATTTCCATTGCTTTTCCAGGCGTCTCGGTGACGTCCAGTAACTCTGGTGTGCCAGACATCAGTGGAAGTGTTTACAATAAGACCCAGGTGAGCCTCCAACAACTCAACAAAAATACAAATAAAACTAAGACTGTGTGGTGAGGTTAAGTTTCAAGTTTGATTATTCTTCTATCCTCTTTTTGCAGTCTTTTGATAAGCAGGGTTTCCATGCGGGGACCCCTCCCCCCTTCAGCTTGCCCTCAGCACTGGGGGGTCCAGGGCCTCTGAACCCTGGAGCAGCTCCTGGAGGCTATGCACCAGCCCCATTCCTCCACATTCTGCCTCACCAGCAACCACACTCACAGCTGCTGCACCACCATCTAGCTCAGGATGGACAGGTAGCTCTTGCTGATCATTTGCAGGCGTTGGAACAGATTTCCCCTGTTTTAGAATTTCTTTGATCATTCCCATTTCTTTTTCACATTCAGGGTGGTCCGAGCCAGCGTGGCCAGTCAAGCAGCCTGCAGCAGAAGAGCCAAGTCAACAAGTCGAGCTATGGCAGCTCTCCCTACTGGGCCAACTGAGAAGGCTACAACTTTGATGTGTGTGCGCGCTGTGTGCAAGGACAAACACGAACACACAGCGCCACACCATCTTATCTGACTGACAAGATCATAGAAGGACAAACCATTTTACAACACAAGCTAAAACACACACTACCACCCCCCCCTACCCTTTACTCTGTATATCCCCTTTTCAAATTTATGGCTGTTGTATGTAAAATATATTTATGTATGTATTTATACAGTATATATGTATTGGTAGGACATTAAATGTGGTTTCTGCATTTTGTTTTTAATTTTGAAGGACATTTTATTTAAAAAAAAAAATGTGGAAAGACGAGAATGCTAATTCATGGAGATGAAGTTGGTGAATATACTTGAACACAAGCATCTTGTGATGTGATTTTTTTGTATGCATACATGAATCAAGGATGATGTACATAGATTCTACACATCATTTTCACAGCAAAGACCTTTTTTATTTTGGAAGAAACAAGTTTTTGTAACTTTGGTCCCCTGCATCTGTGAATCCTTATATTGAGGGTGACTTCAGTTTATAGCTTGATTTTCTTTTTTGCCCCGTTTCCCTCCATCTGTTTCTCATTCCTCAACTCTTTATAGTTGGCTGGTTTTACCAGCCAGGCCTTGGATTTTATGTCATTTTAACATTGGTTTAATCCTTGTTGTCCAAATTAAAAGTTATGAACAGTTCTTATGGGTCTGGCATCAATATTTACCACCCACTTAGTTTTTCTGAACTCAGACCCACAAGTTTCATTAACGTGCAGTTTTATTATCAGTCTTACACTTCTGGGTAGCTTAGACAGCAGCTAATACACCTGACATTCCTAGTGACCAAAAGATGTTATTGAACATGTTCAGAACACCTGTTTTATAGAAGCACTGATTCAGGCACCTATAATGGGAAAACATGCAATATAATACAAGTTACCACCAACCCAAGTTAAAGTTACATTTGCTTGTTTTCCTGTCATAAACAACTGGGTGACCAAGGCAACATAACTATATCAACATTCAGGACAGCAGTAGTTTTGAAGTACCTGTCCAGGCACCTCAAATGTGCCAATTTTGGGGAAACATCCAGAACAGCCACCACCGCCATCTTTCATGCGTGACACACTCAGCCCTCCACAGCAAGGATATGTGAACAGGAACAAGTGGAATACAGGAGGAAACCTTACTGTATCTTAGCTATGTTTCATTATGAGTATGGTCTTTCGTATAACCTCGAGATAGACTTGTTATAAATTGGCACAATAAAATGATTAATCAGGTGTTAACACATTATGCAAACAATCCTTGAATCTTGTTCATGACACATCTCTCATCACACACTTTAGGCAGAATAATTCTGAGATCATTATTTCTTTTAAACCTTTATAATTAGCTTCATGATATGCAAGTTTTAAGTGACCTTGGTCCATGACATTGTGGGACAGGGTTACAAGAGGACCAACGAACATAAACTGATGCATAAGTTAATACATGTTAAGACTTGGTCCTTTAAAGAAAACTGCAGTGGAAAGTAGACAAGCCAATAACTCAGATCTAAGAAAGAAAAAAAAAAAAGATAGTTCCCCATGAGAACCACTACATAAATGATAACAGAAAATGTATTTATTTAACAAAGGTTTTAATTGATAAAAATATTTACAAGTACATGTCATGGAGTACAAGGCACATTACCAGGGATGTGATTGGACAAAAAAATGCAGTGAAGTAGTGATTGTTACAATCAGTGTCTCCATAACAACCTACTTGGTCTCAACTGCAAGCAAGACACGCTGTACAGCGCACAGATTACTTAAAATTATAAACTTTGGGACACGGAGTTCTGGACCGTATTTACATCAAAGCGCATATTTAACAGTGGCTGCTAACGCACTTCAAAGAACATGCACAGCCTGCAAATAAACAAACACCGCTTACGTGGCTCACCGTGTTCACTTTACAGACGGATTGCAGCACTGAAGTAACATTAGCATGGATACCAGGAAATGAATATACATTTTATTCTTGAGTCCAGAAGCTCTCCCCTTTGAAAATGTGTTTTGATGCACATCCATGACTCAAGTCAATCTTTGAACAGATTCTTGTGGAACAATCACATCCCTGGTTGTAAGCATTTCTTTGCAGTCTCACCTGCTCTGAGGTTTTCCAAATGAAGAAAACAAAAGGACAACATACAGCTGCTTATGTGACAGAGCTTATGATATTGAGTTGAAGGAACAAAATAAAATTTTACTGAAATAAAGTGTCAGTCTTTGGCCGCTCTACTCTGCAGCCTCTTTTCTCTTTTTTTTCTTTTTCTTTTCAGTCACAGGGGTTTCTGGGGCCTCTTCTTCTGGCTCTGCTTCCACAGCTTCAGACTTTCGCTTCTTCTTTTTGGCTGCTGGTTCCGTTTCCTCTGCCGCTACCTCTTCCTCCTCTGCCTTTATTTTCTTTTTCTTCTTCTTGGCTGGGGTGTCAGCTCCGTTCTCTGCAGCAGGGGTCTCTTCTGTTTGGACCTCCATCTCCTCTGCTGTGTCTTTCTTCTTTTTCTTCTTCACCACAGGGGTTTCTGCCTCTCCATTCTCCGCCTGCAAGGATGTAAAAGAAGTTTGTTAACGAGTGATAATTTGTATACGATACATCACTAAGGTAGCTATAAATGGATTAACTATACACCACTACAAAGTGTTTTCAGTGTCTGACTCACTTCAGTGATCGAGCCCATTGATTTGGACCAGCCAATGGTTCGGAGTCGAGCTGATGTAGCATGTCGTACACTGAGACAGGACCACGTGTGGGTCAAATCTCAAATCAAAACATGCGTTACCAGATACCAGAATAACACACGTACCTCTGCTTCCCCATTGGCGTCACCATTGGCTTCTTGCAACTTCTTCTCACGCTTCTTGCGTTTCTTTTCCTTCTTCTCCAATTTCCTCTTGATCTCAGTTGCAACATCAGTAGCCTAAGATGAAACAAAGTAATGTGATTACAATCAGGGTGGAATCAAGGCCTCTTCTGTTGAAGTTTATAATGCTGAGTCAGGCTCATTAAATCAGTTTAACCCTCAGTGATGTCAGGAAATTAGTGCTCATCATTCGCAGCAATTACATGAAGGGAGCTTGTTGTATAATCTCCGCTCACCTCTTTCACAGCATCTTTCATGACATCCACGTTCTTCCGTGGCACCTCTCCTGTTTCATAGAAAGACAGGCGCTCCTCAACCTGTCCACGCAGCTTGTCGCCAAACACACTTGTTGGCACCTCTGTGGGAATAATTGAAAATCTTTAAAAAAAATAAACAAAAACCAGCACAAGGATTACAGTCGTCTTTAACAGACATGTGGGCTTTGCTCAGAAATTAGTTTTTCAACACCAACCCGAGGGATGAATACTGTTGACGAAAAATTTGAGCATCATCGCAATAAGGCCACAAGGATTCTAAGCAAAGGTGTTGTCACTCACCTGAAAAACAGTCGATGCGAGAGGCGATGGTGCACTTGTTTGCCAAATATCTGGAGATGCGGCCTTTGTTCTTGGCAGCAGCGCGTCCAATGAAGGTGGAGTGGAAAATTAATCCATACTTGGGAGTGTTGCCACGAGTCTTCAGGGCTCTGCAATAACAAAATAGGACAATACTCAAGTATAATCAACAAAATGACCAGCAGAAAAGATGTCTTCATCTGGCCATAGGTACATATCAACTATACTATTTTATCACGTTTAAACATGGTGCCTTCTCGGAGCCACAGTCCTCATTTACACATTTTATTTAAATGACTGTTGAACAAAATGAGTGGAAGGCATGCAAAAATCCAAGGTCCAGACCCTAGTAGTGTTTTATCAATCTGAAGCCTAAAAGCTAATCACTTCAGGTCTTATGTCAAATCATAGCAGCCCTTAAAGAAATGCATTCAAAGACTTTGCCAAGTTTTCATTCTACAATAAAGCATCTGTCTATATTCAGTAGACATCTCCACCATGTGGACTAAAGTGAGTTAACTTTTCTACCTCAGTGCTGCGAGTGGCTGCTCAGACTGTGGGGGGGTGCATGAGGGTGAGCGGGATCACTCTAGAGAAATCTCCAGTCACCCTGCTCTGCTCCTGCCCAGCCCTGCCATCACTGCAGCCACTTCTTTCCCCAGCAGGGAGGGGGCGCCCCAGTACCTGAACAGGGCCTTCTCTGCTCCCAGGATCTGAACGGTGGATGCCGGGTACTTGGCCAAGTTGGTTAGACTGCCAGCATGAGAGATCAGACGAGCTCCCACCTAAAGAGAAGAAATGTGTCAGCTTTATGGATATACAGGTTATAGTACAGATCCTGTTTAAGAACGGGTTTGAGGACCATCAGCACCGACGGAGTTTATCATCACAGTAATCAGGGGATTGACAGATTTGGTAGAACATCATTGGTCCCATGTAATACAAACAGTAAACAACATTTCCTCTACGTACCACTTCCCCGATTAAGGCTGCTAGATTAGGAGCCACCTGGCTCATCTTGGATCTCAGGTACTCCTGCAGCTCCAGCCGGTATGCAGCTAGAGACACTACACGATCAGAGAACCTCTCTATGTTAATCAAGTCGATGGGAGAGATGTCCATACCTGAAGGGAACAATGAGGACAATTTAACCTAAGGATATTATTCACACTTACAGTAGTGCAGCAAAAATGCATCATAATATTTGGTGCAAAGTGTTGTTTCTCCCGACAGGATCCGAAGCGAGGATTTGTGCCTTCACCACAGGTTTATGAGAGAGGTACTCTGCCCCCCTGTGTTAGTCACCAAGGACAATTATTAGTCCAGGGTGGGCAAAAAAGGGGCATTGTGTGAACTTAAAAAAAAGTCCAGAAATGACATGTTTTGAATAAGATTCTCTGCTGACCCATGGATGAGCGGGATGCATCGAGGATAGCCTGAGCCTTGGCGCTGTCCATGACCACCTCCTCCAGACTCTCGAGACTTTCCTCTGACAACTCTTTCCTGTTGCCGATGAGCTGAGCCAGCTTGCAGTACATGGAGTTGTCCGACACAACCTTGACCAGCTCTGGGAAATGATAGCCGTACCATTCACTGCAGACAGAGGACAGAGAGTGTTAGGAGGATACTGTCATGAAACTATTTACAAGCATTCATCTCAATATAGACCAAGTGACCATGCATGTTAATGGAAAGGCATTTCTCAACCAATAGTTTAGCCAGTACAACACCAAACGTTCACTTTCAATTAGTCACCACTCTAAAACACAACTTGCAGATGCTGAACAAAAACTTTTTTGCTGAAGCCTGCGCAGATACTTGGGGCTAAAACACCATGCAACAGCCCCAAGAGCACAAAAATATGTTCAGTCATATCTTTAATGTATTTCTATTGCAATAGACAAACATATTCTTTGAAAAGCATGACAGAGGGAATTTACCGAACACGCATTGAGAATGTGTTGATGTCTTTGTCCAGCTGATCGAGCAGAGCGATAGACTGGATGATCATGTTGTCGACCCGGTTGACATTAAACTTTACTTTAGCTCTTGAGTAGCTGTGACCCAGACCCAGCTGAGCTTTTGAGGCAGCCTGACCAGTCAGACCCTTCACCAGTGAGTGGAAATGCAGACGCACACCTTGACAGGACAGATGACAGAAAAAGAGGGTTTGTTTGATATACATCTAGCAGCAGTAAAACAGCATCAAGTTGGTGGCTGTTCAGATTTTCAGTATGAACCTTCATGAGTTTCAGGATCAAGTGGTCGCATCACAACAGGCCACAATTTCCCACAAGTTTAAGTATAATGCTAAAATAGCTAGGAAGTCAGCTTCCCCTTGATTCATTTCAACACTTACCTCTGCCTATCTCTGCCACCACCCCAACGGTCTGGATGGAAATTGTAAATTCTTCTTGTAAAGCTGCTCCTATTTTGGCATCTGAAACTCCCAACACAGCCTTCTTCTTTCCAGATAGAGGCAAGTTTGTCTCCAGGAACAACTTCAGGTCAGCGTGAACCACACCTGGAAGAGAGAGAGGCGATAAATCATCTGTATGCCCAATTTGAAGACCACCTTAATTCTCCAGCAGACCCATTTGAAATATGCAACATTGACCAAGAAATTCAGTTCATTCATAAAATTTGATCTGCAGGTCTAAGCCAGGGGTGTCCAAAGTGCAGCCCGAGGGCCATTTGCTGCCCTTGAGGGGATTTTTTTGTGGCCTGTGACTTCAAATGAAGAATCAGAAGATTTTGGCCCGAGGCCTTGATTAAGATTGGCACATTATCTGATTTTTCTTTTTCATGTTAACAAAGGCTGAACAATATTCATGAAATAGAAAATGTTCAGTAACATTTATTATATTGTTGTTTTAAATCTACAGCTTTTACTGTTTTCCACATTTTTTGTTATGGAGAAAAAAAACATATGCACAGTTTTTACAAACAAGCGGACTGTTGTTTAACCATTTAATGACCTGAGCTAAATGCAGAAAGCTTTTCCAAAAAAAAAAAAAACCACATTACAGACTTGATTCTGAGAAAAAAAACAAATAAAGTAGAACGAAGACATCAAAATATTTGATTTCCTTTTATTAAACTCGCTATTTCTTTAGTGAGCCTTTTGATTCTGATCTACAATGCCTTACTATTTTTTCAACTATATTCTAAAAAACAAAACCTGTGGCCCGCGAGAAAAAAAGGACACGACTAAGACGACAGGACACCACAATCAATAGATTAAATAGAAGTATATTTACTCAATAAAACCTAACCAACCATCTAATACTTCTGAAATACATAAATAATGTTGGTTGGACAATAAAGAAGCCTTCTCACTGTCATCATGTTCACATATTCAAAAGGATTTTCTCAGGTGTTCAGGGTTGATATTTGTTGTCAGCACAGTAACTCAGTGGATTGACAGATTGTAAAACATCACTACAACTGAGAAATGGACTTAAAAACATAGAAAAATGTAAGTAGACAGCTTGCCTTCAGAGATGGCGTTCATGTTTTCCAGAGCAGCCTGAGCCGACTTAAAGGGAAAGAAGGCGGCCAGGCTCACCATGCTGTTGAACTTTCCAAGGCTCAGTACGCTCTCCTCCACCTGTGAAACAGTCAAAGTTATTACTGGTCCGGGCAGAGTAGATGCATGAGGAGACGAGCTCCCTTAACCTGTCAGCTTTAAGGATATACAGGTTACAGTACAGATTTAAGAATGGGTTTGAGGACCATCAGCACCGACGGAGTTTGTCATCACAGTAATCAGGGGATTGACAGATTTGGTAGAACATCATCGGTCCCATCCCATTTAATACATTGAACGGGGGTAAACAACTATCTACCTGAGGGAGCAGCATGCCGATCTCCTCCACTTCCTTGACGGTGAACAGCGCGTAGCCCGCCGCGTGCTCGAACAACACGTGTAACAGAACCTGCAGGAGGGAAACACTGGATTAAAGACTGGACCTTCAAGCCCATTTCACAAAAGGAACACTCAGTTTTTATATTTAACTTGATTATCCAGTATCTACTTTTGGTGTTACCAGTCTCCACGTGTTAACAGTGGATGCAGAAATACAACTCTGATCACGTTTTTAAATCGTTTGTGAAACATGTAAACTGCAATGAAACAATACACAGACGATTCATAATCCACCTCGGTGTCCATTCACCCCATCTCAGAGTCCATTTCTTACACGTAACCACGTTGTCGTGAACCCACGTGCTAAACTAGGCCCATACCACGAGTGTGGCTAACTAAAGCTAGCTGCTCTGCTAACTATGACCCGGGAAAACTAACTTTTTGATTATAAAATGTGCTGCAAATATAAGCATAAGTTGCATAATTGTACCGGAATGATTGCGATTGACGAAGCTGGACATGTGTACGATCTGTTAGAACCGCATACGGTGTTAAAAATAAATAGTAATGCGTATATTACAGCTAATGTTAGCCGTGAGGGTGGCTCACCGATTTACTAAGTTGAAAGGCCTTGAACTGAACAACACCAAAACGTTCAAATAAGAAGTTTTGCTATAAAAGCAATGATGGTCTTTAAGTCCTTTCGACCACATCATACTACAACAGATTTGATAATCACTGTAAAGTCATGTTTCTTACCATGGTTATTAAATCTCGACAGCAGCACGCAGCGCGTGTCTGCTCAGCTCCTTCACCTCGGAGAAATAGACTGGGTTGTACGTTTTTCACCAATGTGCCACATGACCCAAATACCGCGAGATTACCAAAACATCGCGAGACTTAACAGAGACATGTCGCGTGTGAGCTCTTGAAAGAGAGGACTGGCCCATCAGCAATGCAGTAAAATGTAAAGGTAAAACAAAATACAAAAAAAGAAAGGATTATGTACATATATATTTAAAGAAAATTACACAAGGGAACTTAAACACAATACTTTACTGCAGAGGTTATTAATACAAATCATTGACAACAACACAGAGTTCAGACCATAGACTGTAAATATTACGAGAATAAAGTCGTAAATTTACGAGTTTAATCTCTCTACCAAAGCTGAATTACTTATTTTGAAAGCCTTGTTCTTAGTCTTTCTCATCCAGTCTCAAGAACCTTTCAGCCAGTTCTAGTTGTTGTAGTTTACCGCTCTCCTGGCCCATATTCTGAATTTCTATCTGAATTTGCAGAACTCACAGGTGAATTGGTGTCTATGCTTAGCCTCTCAACTGCTGTAAATGTATATGTTGCTTTCATAAGTGGTTTTAAGACATTCAGATAGTAATAAAGGACAGCTGATCGTATACAAAATAGATAGATAGATAGATAGATAGAGTTACATTATAGAGAGCTGTTTATGTACAAATCCAGTAATTAGACATGTTAAAGTGCAAAAACAGTGTGGAGAGATTTTATAAGCAAATGCATGACCAGATCAGACGTAGTAATGTGCAGAAACACTAATCAAGTGAAATTGAATGTGCAAGGATGAAATGTGAATTTGAACTGGATAGATACGATCATGATGACAGTTTCAATGGTCGCGAGAGGTGAGCTGTTGCACAGGGTTAATGCTTTCGATAGCAATGAGTTCCTGTAACTGCTGACAGCGGAGCTCAACCAGTCTGTTTGAGAAGGTGATCCACTGTCTGTCCAGCAGGTGGTGCAGAGTGTGGTCAGGATTATCCATAGTGAATAACAGTTTGTTCAGTGTCCTTCACTCTGTCCCCACTACAAATGGGTCCTTCTTGATGAGCTCGTCCAGTCTGTTGATATCTCCGGCTCCAATGCTGCTTCCCCAGCAGACCACAGCACAGTACAATGCCCTGACCACAATGGACAGGAAGAAGATCTCCAACATCTTGCTGCACACATCAGATCTCAGCTTCCTCAGAAAACCGAGTCTGCTCAGCCCCTTCTTGTACACAGCTTCAGTTTTGGCCTTCCAGTTAATTGTCAATGTTGACACCCAGGTACTTGCACTCCTCCACCATGGTCACATCCTCAGCCAGAAGCTGTCGTCTTCCTTCTTAAGAGTCTGAATCTTCAATTGTAAATGAAAAGGGAGAGTTGGTCCCGATACAATATTGTCATTGCTCAGAAGACACAATATGTATCTGACATAATTGTAAATTATGAAACTAACCAGCTATGATATTTATAAAACACATAACCTGTCTGGATGTTTCTTCAGAAACCTCTTTATATATATATTTTTTTTTTATTGAAAAAGGGTAGAAATTAGAGCACACATGATGTGATGCTATACGATTGTGTGACACATCTCAACCTATTCTTATAACCCATTATACAATCACTAATTTTGTGTGTTTTCTAGTTTTTTAAACAATTTTTGTCTCTTTCTCATCTTAATAAAATGACTGATCATATGAAATCTTCAGCCTGACAGATGTGGTCCCCCTTGCCTTTTAAGGACATTTTAGAGACCTGAGACATTTTAGAGACTAATGTAAAAAATTAAAATTAAAAATTAAAAAAAAGGTCCTGGGTACTGTATCAAACACAAGTTTTTCTTTCAGAGTTGATAAGTCTGTGTACTAGAGAGCACGTATCTCTCTTGTGGAGTCCCTCAGGGAATCATAGCTGGTCCTATGCCGTTTTTTTCTCTTCATGGTCTTCCCATCTGTTCTCAGCAATGTGGAAGTTCATGGATGTGGTCCCTTTATGTATTTATTTGATTATTTATTTATAATAATTTTAAACATTCTGGAAAACCCAGATGTTTAGTAGATTACACAAATATTTTCCTGAGAGAAAGAAAAACAATATCCAATCTCAAAATGGAAACTTGTGGATTTTCCTGTCATTTTATGCAAAAAAAAATTACTTAAATGTTTTAATTTTTACTTTTATTATTTTCTGTAGACGTTCAATCAACCTTTCAATTAATCGCTAGATAGTGTTTACCCATGACAAAATAGGAACAAGCTATGTTAGGCTGTGGCTTTAAAGAAGAAACCTGTTGAAAGAAAAACTTTGTCAGGTGATGAAAAAATGTAATAGCTTGTGTGCCATTGTGGTGCTGTTACACAAAGTGCTACAGAAGAGACACAAAACGACACAATTGCACTTGAATTGCATCAAGCCAAATACAGTAGTGGCAATATTTTTAATGGTCCACTTCTGAAGACTTTAATAACAGCAGTATAAACCCTGCCAGCAAAAACATCACCGTCATGCCGGAAACAGTTGAGTGTTTTATTTTGGTAATTGCATCATTTACATTATTAAAGGCATGAGGTTTCCAAGGAACAGATACATGTGGCTCGGATAGTACACAAGTATGAATTACAGGCAGGTCATAAATGTCCCATTGTGTTGGATTTAAGTTGAGGGCAGAGAATTTATGACTGACCTCTTTGGACAGATAGTCTCTTGCTTGCTTTCCCTCACACACAGACACAGACACACACACACACACACACACACACACACACACTCATGCAGGTACATACACAATTGAAATCCTGTATATTAAACCCAGAACATTTTTCCTTTTTAAAACTTTGTGAACCCGAATCCCAAATCTTTAACTTTTCTTATAGCATTAGTCTATTTTAAGATACATTTGGAAATCAGCTTTATCTTCTGGCTAAACTTAAAAACCTGCAAAAGTCACAAGTAAAGATCAAGGAGACAGAAAAGTTGTTCTATAAATAATTCACAAACACATCAATCTAATCCGGTCTGTGCAGCAAACTCCCCAATCATATAAAGATACATTCAGGCTGTTTATCAATGTGTCATTTTGTCAATAATTTCAAAGGCCTACATCATACATGCAGCATTGCAAGCTTCCTGCTTCATTAAAAGGCCAGATTCCTGAGTAATATGTGTGTTTCTAGGGGCACAAAGGAGAGTGCATGAAGGAGCCTGTTGAGGAGCGGATGTGAGGGAGGACAGTAAAAAGCACAGGGACCAAGGAGAGGGCTTGATATAAAGGCTGGACCGGGACAGGGTGCAGTCAGACTGGTGGAGTTCAGCTCATCTCAAAGCTCTATTTCTCTCAACTGAACCGACCAGAGCGGACACATTACGTGAGTAACAGATGGCTTCTACTTCTTCTCTGTGTTTCTTTCTTTCCCTCGCTGTCTTAAACTCTTGTGTTTTTGCTCTTTGACATCCAGTTTTCCTTCTCTGACATTTGTGTTTAGAGCTGCCTCGCTGTTGTAATTATATGGCTGGTCCACTCCGGCCTCTTATCTCGCCTGTCAGTAGAGTAGTTTGTTACTTCCATGCCTCCCCCCTCCTCTCTTTCCCTATCTACTATCTATTTGACAACGTCTCCCTTGCATAATGCAGAATGACATAGAATCCCCCTTATTCTTCTTTCAAAGTAATTATTTCAAGCACACACACACGCACACACACACACACACACACACACACACACACACACACGCACGCACGCACACACGAACACACACACGCATGCACACGCACGCGCGCGTCAACTACTCTATGTTGACCTATTTTGACTGTTGCCTCTCTTGTCCACTCCTCAAAGGTTCTGTAAGTGTCCTGGCTGCAGTGACCTGTTCATGTGGAAACACTGACTCTACTGTACATTTGTATGAGCCTGATCACTTTGCATACTTATGTACAGTATGTGTTTATGTTTGTCTGTGTATGTTTGTAAGGACAGAGCAGAATGAGCATGCGTGGGGCAGTAACTGGTTGCGTTGTGCTGGCTTGCCTGGTGACACTGTTGGCGGTGAGGACAGAGGGACACATCACCTTCTTCAGTCCAAAGGAGATGATGCTGATGAAGGTAACACGCTTATCTTTGGTTTAGCCAATGTGCAATCATTCATTTAACTCTCATTTGTTTTTTTAACTTGACATTGTCAAGCATCAAGTTGACTGTGTTTTCTGAATTAATCATAAATGATTTGTCGACCAACATAAAAACTAATCTTTAAAATCTTTGATATCTTTGTCATTTTATAATAAAAATAATACACTTTTTTTTTTTAAATCCAAGTTTCATATTTGAAAGGTTTATTCCTTTTTTTTGTGATTTGTTGTAAGAGATTGAAAATCTGTACAATTTTTTCAAGGTGTTGCTTAGGAAGAAAAATGGTGATGAATCAATAACAAATAAAATGTTGATCCAAAGTAAGGAAAACACATCATGAAAGAGCCCTTATTAAAATTCATGGTGTGAAGTGTCCATTAAATGCAGCATAAAATAAGAATCAGAACTCTGAACCAAGACTGTCAGGGGTTTCACAATTTGTTGTGTTAGTTTAACAAACCTTTCTTTGATGATAATTTGACACATTAAGCTCATATCGATATTCCAGGTAGCTACAAAGCAAATTAAGAAGCTCATAAACTGCTCCTCCTCGGCGATAAATGATTTTGTTGGGGCTCTTTATGATTTTGTACAATGAAAGGATGACTGCTGGTTGTCAGAGTGGTTTTTTGGATTTGTAAAATATATACATGTGCCTGTGTTGCAGGAGCGAGAAGGTAGAAAGGACATGGAGCCTCGATCGGAGGACGGTCAGCTTGAAGAGGTTACAGTCCAACAGCTTCCTCCAGTGGAGCATGGAGGAAATCCTGTGAGCACAGATCCATCCACACTCTACACACCTTTCAACCACAATATCATTGCTGTTTTTACTAATGAATTGTACCATTACTTACAAACCATGACCTCTTATTCCGTGTGTCTAGGATAAAACAGTCGAGATTGCAGTCTTTCTTTCACCCAAACAGCTGGATCACGTGGCTCCTGTGCTCGAAGAGATCATCCAAGAAGTAGCAGAGGAACATCAGAAAGGTTACAGCATGACATTGAATCAGCTTTTATTATCAAAAAAAGTGAACCAGTCACATAGTAAGAAGTGATACAAGTGATAGTGCTTTGATTAAAAACCCTCTTTGATAAAAAACACGTTCTCTCTCTCTATCTCTTTCTCTGCAGCCAAATAGCGAGGTCAAAGACAGGAGGGGACGAATGCTGTACAGATTCTTCAAAAAGCACTGAATACCTAAATGTTTTGTTGTGTTTTACTGAATTATTATTCAATAAAGGGAAATTGTTGTGTCACTTTATGGAGCTTCTGTTGTCTTTTTTGAAGAGGAACGTAAGCTCCAGTTGGCCACATGGTGTCACCGTCACTCTCAGAAAAACAGTTCACTGGTACTACACATACATCGCTGAACCTTCTTTCAATAGGAAAAGTGACATTATGTGTCTTAAGCCTGTTGTTCAAACCACTGCAGAGAAGAGCAACACAGCTTTGTCACGTCACAAATACACAAAACAATTTCCCTGAAATTATGTAACGTCTGTACAAATGGATTCAGAAACCTCCCCTGCTACTTAAAAGAGATTATGTCAGAGTTGTAGTTGAAGAAGTGCAGTAAGAGGTTGGAATTTGACCCCCATTTCTTTGTTATCAAGCCTCCCTTTTGGCCTGATAGTTGTTTCAGAGCTTTGATGTCACTCTCTCGCTGATCTCAAAGTCCTTGACCGCCAGAGCAGAGTCCCGCGCTAACGGGGAGGGGAGCACAATGGAGCAGTCGCTGTCAAAATACTTCCCAGTTATCCCATCCGTTTCTTCTGCCACGGCACAGTAGATCGAGCTGACCGCACCCTCCTCTGGAGACTGAGAGGGAGACAAGGATGATGAACGGATTATGTGAAAGCACAGTTAGTACAAAAAATGCAAACAGGATGTTCCTGTGATCGCTGTCTGGATGTGTTTCTAGTTAAACCAGATGTTGCACATACTCTGCAGTAATGATACACATCACAGATTCACATCAGAAGTCGAGCTCAAGAGTTTGAACAGACAACTGGTGATCGATCCCAGATTTAAATGTGTTTATGAACTTGGTATGGATGTGTAGACTTTCTCTGTTTATGTGTTGCCTTGGTTACATGTGATGCACAACAACATGCTGTAAGCAGTGAATTTCATCCATCCAAAGTATTTGTATGAATACAAATAAACCACTAGGAGGGGGTTTACTTAGATTACACTGCAGTGAGTATGACATCATTGTTGTATTCTACTCAGTACACCATGACAACATTTTAAACAATCCTAATTAACCAAACTTGACATTTGTCCTGCAGATTTTGAGATTATTTTCCAAATGTATCTCCAAATAACATCATTTTTATAGTGTGACTAAATAGTTGACTAACTCAGACCTTGTCCCACTTTAACATATTCAAGTAGAGTGTAACTCTATTATACTTGAATCCTATGTGCTTGAGTTAGAGCCAGACAACAATACAAAAATCACAGCTATTCCGATAAACAGGAAGTCACACACAAAGCCTTTCTTTAGAAAATACATTCTAAATTTAGTTTATGGGGTGGGGCTGAGCTATAAGACATGTGGTAATACTCTAACTTTGTTTCCCTAAGCTTACAAACAAGAGATCTGGTTTGCACATTTACTGTAACTTGTATTCTGGTTGACACAGTTTATCATTAGACTGAGGAAGAAGATAGGCATTTGTTCAAGTGTGCCAACAAGTGCCAAAGATCTTCTTCAGTTGATAATTTGATAATCACCTGAAGAAGACCGCTGGTCAAAACATTGTGATCAGTAGGAGTTAATCACATCTAACAACATGACATTAGGGAAATGATGTGGACTGTAAATCTGCTATTTAAAAGCAAATGCATACTTACTTGAAAAAGAAAAATCCAATGAGGTTGAAAATGAACTGGATAAGAAATGGATAGTGTCTCATCACTTCTGTCAAGACGACACCAGGGTGGACAGAGTTTGCAGTCACGTCTACATGCAGGTACACACAGAAACACATATTTAAGATAAAGTATTAGCAGGGTTAGTCTTATTCTTTGAATGCAGACATTTCCTCCTTTTTCCTTAAAAAAAATGAGTTTCTAAAGGAGTTTTAACATGTTTTAGTTGTGCTGCTTTGCTTAAAGCTTGAATTCCTTCTTCATCTGTTGCCTCTTCAGAGATTTTTTAAAAGACAGAAAATCATTTTTCTTTCATTTTTGTTCCTGAAGAATGTTTTTAATGAAAAACACACAGAGGATGCATACTATTCTGACTTGTGATTAAAACCACTGAGTGTTTGACTAAAGCTAAGCACAAGTTAAAAAATAGTATTTAAAGGTCACATATTATGCAAAGTACACTTTACCATGTCTGTCTACAAACCCCCAAATTAAGAGAAAACTCCATCCTTTCCATCTTTTGCCTGCTCCACAGAAAATGTCTGCTCAAACAGCCTGTTAGGAGATTTTTCCCTTCATGGGCGTGGTTGATCAAGGCTCAGATGCATTTAAAGCTACAGACACAAAAACAGCCTGTTCTGAGCAGTGTTGAAATAGAGGGGTGTATAGGCATGATCAAATACAGGATCAGAGTGGATTTTGCAAGAAACTTTACAGACATGTTTTGGAGAGCTCCAAGACTAATTAAACTTGTTGAAA